CTGGTATAGGGTATTTAGGATCTGTATAGGTCGATCTATCCTAGGTAAAGGCAGATTAGATCTGCGGTAGACTTTGGTTACCTGTCTTCAGTCATAGAGTCCGGTAATTCTGTCCGGTTATATTTAATAATATGATTTTTATTATTATCTTATAACTAAATTAAATTTTATAAAGATTAAAAAAACAAATTAATAATAAAATATTCATAATATATCATTAATATCGATCTTATAACCATTTACATAATATCATTCATATTTTCTCATTTCTTTATTTCCTTAAATACATATTTTACAGAAATTTAATTTTATGATAATATGTATTCTAAATCAAACAAATAATATATTTTTTTTTACTAAATCTACATATATGTTTTTTACTAAATCTATATAAATTATATATATATAATGTATGTGTATATATATTAGTTGATTTTCTCTGTCGTAGAGTAAAAAATTATTTTTCAGATAAAATTGAAATGTCTATTCTCCGACGTCTCGCCAGATATGTCAACTGTGTCTTCGTCGATTCAACTCCATCTCCGTTTTTACTTAGTGAAATCTGAGTTGGTATTCGGTTTTGTTAGGTATATTTTAAACATCAATCCACAAGAGGCATGCAATTGGTGGGAAACAAAAGTAATGGAGGAAAAACTTAAAATGAGTTTTACTTTTTATATTTTTCTATAGTTCAAAATCTGGTTCTAAATCGTGAAAAACCTTTACCTTTACATGGTAACTCATTTTAAATTGAAAATTTTTTACGTGGGTTGTGAAATTACAAGCAAAACGAAAAAAAGTTACTTTAAAAAATTAAATTTATGATTTTTCAAGGATGGTTTTATAATTGTTTACTTTTTTTTATATTTCGCTTCAGATCTGTAGCGTATAATTAAGATATTTATCAAAGAGTTTTAAAAGTAGAATCGAAATTATAAAAATTTATACATGAATTCAATAGAACAAACTACCAAAAATATACATTCAAATTAACAAAAGTAGACTCATACTCAATTAAAAAATAAAGATATAATATATATAAATATATACATAAAAAATAAAAATACAAAATAAAAATACATATATACATACATATATATATATATAAATAAATATATATACATATATGCATATTTGTATATATATATAAATATCTATTTATTTTATATTTTTATATTTCTATTTGTTTATGAATAGATTTATATATAATATTTATATTTTCTAATTGAGATTATAGAGAAAAAGAAAGTTGACATATGTTTTTTAAATTCTAAAATAAATTTATTTATATATAAAAATTTATATGTAAATTTAACTTTTTTTAAAAAATGAAAGATAACTATAATATTTAATAATATGATTTTTAGTATTATCTTATAACTAAATTAAATTTTATAAAGATTAAAAAAAACAAATTAACAATAAAATATTCATAATATATCATTAATATCGATCTTATAACCATTTACATAATATCATTCATATTTTCTCATTTCTTTATTTCCTTAAATACATATTTTACAGAAATTTAATTTTATGATAATATTTATTCTAAATCAAACAAATAATATATTTTTTTCACTAAATCTACATATATATTTTTTTTTACTAAATCTATATAAATTATATATATATAATATATGTGTATATATATTAGTTGATTTTCTCTGTCGTAGAGTAAAAAATTATTTTTCAGATAAAATTGAAAAAAATCTATAATTTTTGTTGAGTGAAAAGATGAAAATTTATTTATATTTTATTAAATTGTTATAATTTGTAATTCCAATTGTGTTTTCGAATTGTATTATTTTCATCATGTATCAAATATATTGTTTTTTCAATTGAGCCTCTCTCATTTTATTTTTTAAACTTATTTTATAAACACAATTTAAGAATATAAAAGACACTGCATTCCACACTATACATAATGTCAAATAATTCTAAAAAATAACAACACATATAATATGAAATTAACAACAACAAATATGTCTAATAATATCTTTTTCTCCACTGTAATAATATTTATATTCTTTCATTTATTCACTTCTTATATGTATACATATAATGATCCAATACTATAATTTAACTTTACTTAATATATAATAATTTTTGTATAAATTGATATCAATAAAGTTTAATAACAAATAGACGAATAAACCGCGCATCGCGCGGGTCTCTCCTAGTTAATATTAAAAAAGAAGAAAAGTGGACCCTAAAAAATTAGGAATCTGAACGTACGTATACAAGAAACGAAACGTTTCTTGTTTCTTCTTGTTTGTGTAAAATTAGTGTCTTTAATCATTTTGAACTCAATTTTATATACATGAAAACATTTTCAGGATGTCAAATTATTAAATAACTTTGAATTTTTCTGGAAAATATAGTTAGAAGGTATGTGAATATCTGAATTATAAAAAAAAAATTACTTATGCAAATAAGAAATCAGCCACACAATTCACACCGACAATACAATACAATACAAATACAATAAACGTGTTTTTTATGAATCTCTCTGGTTGGATAGTCCAAAAGGTTCAACATGACTTGTCTTTGATCAGAGAGAGAGAGAGAGAGAGAGAGAGAGAGAGAGAGAGAGAGAGAGAGAGAGAGAGAGAGGAGTTCTACGTACAAATATGAAAAGCGTGGCATTTGTTTTGGTAATTGGCGTTTCTTTTTTCATAAAATGGACGGAGGGGGGTTCGCCCCCAGGTCAGGTGGTAGTGAGCATGGGGAGCACCCATGAGGTGGGGAGTTCGATTCCTCGCCGTCTCACTTCCTCTGACCTGCTCGCCTGCCAGCCTGTCATAACGGGCTGATTTACCTCCTACGTGTGGGCTTGGGGTTTGACCCGCAGACGCCTAAACCCAACTACGGCCCGAGCGTTAGGCGCGCCTGGTGGCCAGATCCGGCGGACTGAGGTCCATGGGGACTGTTAGGCTCCGGCGGACTGAGGTCCATGGGGACTGTTAGGCGCGGGTGGTGGCCAGTTCGTCTCCGTTTGTAAGGGTAGATAGTCACGGGGTTCCCCAATGTATAAAAAAAAAAATGGACGGAGGGGCCTTGTTACAATTCGGGGGCTTTAGTCTCACAATATGAAAAGCATGCATGTCCCCTGTGCCTCCAACGAACCATATCCATTCATTTGCCCAAACCTGTCAATTTCCCCCCGCTGAATTTGGATCAGTTCCATCACTCCATGGAAAATATCCCTGTGTTTATGTTGTATTTTACGTAAATTTTTACAATTAAAAAAATCCGTGTATTCTGCCACCCCTTTCTCACCGCACCCAAACTTGGATAGTTTCACCGATAAAACAGGGGTTTGTCCCGTCCCAATTCCCAAATTTGAACCTCAAGTTTTCGGAGAAAACATATATTTCAAACCACTTGGCTGACTCTCTATCCCTAAATTAGTTTGGACATTTTCTAGGATATTCGGTTATCCAAAAAAATTCTTTTACCACCGCTTGATTGAACAAAAAAATATTAAAAAAATATATGATTTTTTAAAAAATATTTTTTTTTATAATCCGAAAATTGAATAAATTTTCCGTCTAACTATATCTTTCAAAAGATTGGGAAGTTTACGTTAATACTCGTTTTCGAAGACAACTGGAGAAGGAGTTTTAATCCTTTGAGTCATCAATCTTGGATTTTAAGGCATTTATTTGTTACCAAGTTCCGCGAATTCATCGAGATGTACTCCCCAGAGTATTGGACCAACTTTAGCCCATAACATTCAGACAATTCACTAATGGAATCAGGTGTCAGATCAGAATTCCTACCTGACATGTCGGAAAATTAAAAAACAAACAAACAACATGTATACACGTATGTGTATACGCGCATATGCATGTATATGTATATGTGCATATATGTATGTATATATACATATGTATATATCCTATATATTTATGTGTGTGTGTATATAACTGTGTATACATATGTTTTTTGAAATTTTTACTAACATGATTATTTTTGCCTACGTGATTTGGAATTTCGACATGCGATACCAAGGTTTATCGACCAACGATTGATTTGGAGATATCTTGGCAACTGGAGACTGTTCCCTGTGGTGTTTTGGAGAATAAAATTTTTTATACGATATTTTCTCTTAAATGTCTTTTGTTCAACGTTTGATTTGGAGATATCTATGAAGTATTTTTTTTAAATGATATTTTCTCTCAACATTTTTAAAAAAAATATTTTTCGAAGATTTCATTTAGTTATATAAGAAATATACATTTCAGTTTTATAAAATATTTAAACACAATCTTTGAACGAAGTAAAGGACAAGATCCACAATCTGAGTTCAAATGTTTGGAAACAGACCCCAACAAGTGTACATGTGGACTGTCTTCTGACTTGTATGAATCTGAACACAAGCTTTGCAACACATATCGTATCAGTCTCCAATTGAGTAGCATCAACTTCTTCAGGAATTTAAATTTATCTGATGAATCTCCCCAGTCTATTGAGAATTTGTTAACAGCTGGAAGAAGCAAGAGAGCTTAGCTTCTTTTCATAGAGCTTTGCCCGTCGAAGAGCGTCTAATGCCTCGGCTTGTTTTCCTGCACGTTTTCAAGCCACAGCTTTTACTTTCTCCGCTTTTACCCGTTCCTCCAATTGGGCTCTCTCTTCGTTAGAACTCTCCTTCACCGGGTTTGGTTTCACTGCATTATGGCTCGCCTTCTTACCACCAGGTTTTTCTTCTGTTCTTGTCTGCGGGCTCGAAGAATTGTCCAGTCCGATGGCTCTGAGAGCAGATAACAGTTGAGGATCGAGGAAATCTTCAACAGACACTTCGTCCACTGGTTCTGATTTAGAGGGTTCATGAGAAATCGATTCCTCTAGCTGTGCTTCAAGAGCTTTCGCCAGTTCAAACTCTGCTTCAGCTTCTTGCAACAGACCCTCCCTCCGAAGCTTCATGGCCTGACGTTTATGGCTGAGTGACTCTTGCTGCAGTTTAAATCGGTCACGACTGGACAATGGCTTTGGAGATGAACTTGAAGGAGAAGGGCTATTCTCTTTCTGTACGGTAGGAGCCTTCGCTGAAGAAACCAGATCACCTTGCTCGGCTTTACCAGGAGGAGTATTTTCTCCTTCTAGTCTCCTCTCCAACAACTTAGCTTGTTGTAATGCCTCTTTGGCTTCACTCAATCTTCCTTCCCTCTTTAAAGCAACAGCCTTTCTCTTATGGGCCAGAATTTCTTGTCTGAGTGATTGTTGGCCATCCTGTGGAGACATGTTCTGAACAGGACTTTTTTGGTACCTATCCCCCTCCGAACCTTCTTGCAACACTCTTGTCTCGGTGTCTGGATTCCTTTGTTTCTGTCTCTCGGGATTTGCCGCAGATTCGCGATGAGATCGGGGCTCAGACCGGGAAGGAACACACAAATCTGAATCCGTCTCATCTTTCCCCTTCGCTGCAGCTATTTGAGAGATTTCGCCATGATCACCTGTCAGCAGATCTATCATATTCGCTTGCTGAACGGGATGAGAAGCAATTCCAGTTTCAGTCTTCCTCAACTTGCTAGGAGAACCTGCTTTGGAAGATGAACTAAAGTCTCCTAACAAATTATAATTTTCTTGAACAAGCTGAGAAGCACTAAGGATAGATGAATGGTCATTTCTCAGATTCTCTGTTTCGGCCTGTTTTTTACCATATCCAGCTAATAAATCAACATCCATGTAGTTCTTCTGAGAGCTGACTACTGGAAGTGAGCCTTCGGGTTCCATCTTCACGTTGCTAGAAGCATCAATCGTTTGCTCACTCTTGGCAGATTCGAGTTCAGCCAATTGTGCCTCCAGAATGTTCGCCTTTCTCAACAATTCCTCGGCCTCTTCAGTTTTCCCTTGACGCCTAAATGCAAGTGCCTTCCTTTTAAAATCCAAAAGTTCTCTTTGGATTTGTCCTTTGCTTTTGGCTGCTCTGGATGGACCACTGGTCTGCAAAGAGCTGGAGATGACTCGGTTTATAGGTGTTTCATGTGGTTGTAATGGTTTAGGCTCTTCATCCTTCCACCCCAAATCATTAAGAACCGACATTAACGCTGGATCTTTCAAATCATTTTCTGTAACGTCATCATCTCCTTCATTGACTCGAGTATCAATAGGAAGATCAATGGATCCTTTCTTCAGCTGATTTCCATTAGGTTGAAGATTCTTGCCTGAATCCATCTCCATCATCTGGGCTTCCAAAATTTTTGTCTGTTTCAGAACTTCCTCCGCTTCATCAGAATTACCCTGCCGTCGCAGGGCAAGTGCTTTTCTTTTAAGACCTAAGAGTTCCCGCTGTATTTCAGCTTTACTTCTTTTTGGTACTGCACTGAGGATATCATCAGCGTTTTGAGTTTCTGTTACTACCTCGGGACGCCTACTCACCGCATCAGAAGCTTTTGACGAAGAACCTGCAGAATAATGATCTTCCTCATTCCATCCTAAACTCCTTAGAGTTGAAAGGTATGCTGGATCATCTAAGTCCTCATCTTTCACCTCGACCTCTCCATCATCATCCAGAGAATTTCCAGAAATATAAGTTTGCTCATTTCCACGATCCCCTTCTCGAAATCCAGCCTTTCTTGCCGCAGCTAATTTTGACAAATTGTCTATCTCATCGAGTTCATTCTGGAGAACCATTCCTTTCTTCAGTTCTTCTTCGGCTTCATCTAACCTTCCTTCCCTTCTCAAAGTAAGAGCTTTCTTTTTCACTGCAAGAAGTTCTCTCTGGATTGCCAACCTGCTTCTTGTCGGATGTTTTAGACTCAAGTCACTTTGAGCACCGGCAGTATCAACAGTCTTTGATGACGTATTAGACGCATCAACAGCCTCTATTTCCCTCTCAAGTAACTTTGCCTTCTTCAATGTAGCCATGGCCTCTGCAACATTTCCTGCTCGTTTTAGATTGAGGGCCTCTCTTTTCAATGACTGAATTTCAGCTAAACGTTCTTCTCTGTTGGTAGGAGTAGGTTGAGAATTGGCATTGTCATGTTGTTCCGAACTTTCATCCCAACCTAATGATACCAGAGCGGAAGCAATATCTGGGTCCATCATGTCTTCCTCTGTGACATCAAAGTCGCCATGAAATTCAAGATTATCTACATTTCCCACAAGGTTACTAACATCAAAATCACGTCTCTGCTCCAATTGACCTAACAAGTCATCTTCTTTGTCATCATCCATGCTGCGAATTAGTGCAGATAGCTCATCGTCCGAGTCTTCGGCCCCAGCCAAAAGTTCCTGTTCTTCAAGTTCTCTTTCTAAAAGTTTAGCCTTTTTAAGTTCCTCCTTAGCTTCTGCAAGCTTCCCTTCGCGTTTCAGCTTAAGGGCCTTTTTCTTAAGGGCAATGACCTGAGTCTTGTCAATACCGTGACCTTTTTCTCGGCTAGACTTCATGGGTACTTCACGAAGCAGAGATGAAAATTCACCCTCCACACTTATTGTTGCTATCTTTTTATCTTCATCATCTGACCATCCCAGCTCCTTTAGCTCATCTGCGAAATCATCCTTTTCTTTTCCTCCTTGATGCAGAGGCTTATGTGCCTTACTAGAGTCTTTCACAGCATCCTTGTTCGGTGCCTCGGTAACATTTCCCAAGGACAGTACCCTTTTCCGGTTTCTTCTTAAAGATATCTCTAATGCTTCAGCTTGCCTTTCGAGCTCCTTACCTCTCTTAAAGGCTTTTAGGGCTTCTTCAGATTTGCCTTCTCCTTTAAGAACTCTGTACTTCTTCTTTTCCTCCGATGCTAGTTGACGTAATTCTTCAGGACTAGTTAGCACTGTCTCCAATTGTGACTCTGTGGTATCATTTCTAGCAGTTTCTGTAACATCTGGAATAGAAGCAGTGCTTGCCTTTGATTTATAAGAGGTTCTGTCCATACTAGAGACTGATCTCGATGAAGAAGATACATCTGCATCAGTACCCAGAATCTCATTGAGAATATCATCCTCATGCTTCGGGATTGTTTTGGAACTACCTGCAGGAAGAGCAGAAAATGGCACATTAAAATTTTTACAAGTTACAACTTTACTTGTTGTATACTTGCTCCCTGTTTGTCACACGAAATAAATTAAATCGTTTGTTGCAAACGCGTAAAACAGGGATCTACATGCATCTGCAAAGGATCCTGACAGATCAACGAAGTGAAATCAACTAAAGAAAACTAAGGTACCTCTCTAGTCATTCCATCGGGGAGAAAATGGTGAAAAAACTAAGGTACCAATATAAGATACAAAGAAGAACACATCAAACCTTTTGCAGTTCTATTCTTGTAACCATGCCGCAACTCAAACCGTGCTGCTTCTTCGAGTTTCTTACATGGCTCACATATCCGGACAGGTGAATCACCTTGTCCCCGTAGGAACATTCTTTGCTGTGTGCAGCTATTGCAGAACAACCCCCCACACCTCCGGCAATGGTGCTGAAAAATACACAACTCATTTTACAAACAGCCATTACACAGCAGAAGAATCGAAAAGCAAATTACTGAGACTGGATATGGTTATTAAACAAGAAACTAATCGCACTGATCACGAAACAGCTCAGCAAAAGCCAAGATTTTATGTTTGTTTCCATTCACCTGATTCAACAAATCCAACACGAAATCAGCAAACGAGTGGAGAAATGAAACATTCAGTTCAGAAATCAGAACATTCAACTCAAACACACTCTTCTTTGCATCTCCTAAAGAATCGCAAGCCGAATCCATTCAAAACCAGGCAAAACATCTGACAAGCAAGCAACTGCGAAAGTATGAACCCATTGGCACAAAATCCGCAGGAACTACCGAGAATTTCCGAAAAAAATAACCTGTTTCTCTTCTTTCAGATGGGAAGAGAGATCATAAAACTAAGGCAAGCAGAAATTTCAAACAAGCTCATTCAAGGAACCATCATAGTCAAAGAGAAACACGAATGCCATTGTCCACCATCGGATCATTATTTCAAACTGTCGCAGAATGAATCTCGACTTCATGCAAAACGGATCCAGAAGAATCGACGAACCCCTAAAAATCACGGACGCGAAGCTGAGATTCCGCGTGAAATCAGAGATCGGGCACACAAAAAAGCATCGATTGAAAAAACAGACGAAGACTCGGAGAAAATCAGAAACCCGAAAAGAACAAGCGAGAAAGAGAGAGAGAGAGACCTTGCGATTGATGAAGGTGAACTGAGAAGAACATCCTTGGCAATGAGAAGCATCTACGACCCAAGTATTGCCCCTCAAAGAAGGCTTCGCCGGCAATCCGATCTTTTCCAGCATGCCTATCAATCAATCCTATTCCCGACTGAGAACCAGAGATCAAACGAGAAAATATGGAGCCCAGACGAAGAAGACGACCTGACCAGTTTCGGGTTTGTTATTACGACTGAATTCGTAATTAATTCTAAATATAATTACAATTGATTCTAAAAAAGTTGGCTAAAAAATAATGTATTATTTTAATTCTATATTAGTTATATGTTAGTCGTAACAAGGTCGCAAAAAATAAAAAGAAAAGAGTATTTCGGACTTTTTCCCGAAAAAGTGGGTTAAAATTGAAAAAAAAAATTTATTTTTTTTCGGTGGTGTATAGTGAAATAGTGTGGGACATTTGAGTAAAAAACCCACCAGTTTTCCCCTATCGGGTTTCCCCATTCGCTGATGTTTTGGCTAATTACGTTTTCGCCCTCAGACTTTAATCGACTTAATTATTGGATCTTCGAAATCCAAAACTATCACACTTTAAAAAAAAAATCTCCACATGTCTATAATTTATAGATCGCATACATTTCAATTTGACCAGGGATTATAATTAATATTAAAATATTCGTTAGAATTTAGGAATATAGAATATATTAAAAAATTATAACAGAGATTTGTAAATAATGAACAAAAACGACTAATAGTAAAAAAAAATTGTGAAAAAATGGAATCGTATTATCCTAGCGCCAGTATCTCCTTTCTGTCGTCTAGGAAATTATTTGTTATTTATCTTTTTTTTGGTAACTTTATTTGTTATTTTAATGTATCCATTATATGACCATGCCATATTCCCAACATCGCCGTTTGTTGCCCTTGCGTGGAGGACCAAAGGGTTCGGCATTTGGATTTTGGCTGGTGGCTTCATGTTTCACGACTTCGGTCTGAATTGTTTTTCGAATCTAATCCATGGTACTTTTGTTCCGCCTTGTTCTGGTTCGGTTTGACCGTACCAAACCGAAATTGAGATCTGATTATTCCAAGGGACTTTCGAAAGATTTCCGGGAAAAGAAAGAAAAAACATATGTAAAAGGAACAATGGCGGCTACTTTCCCGACGACGATGATCACTTTCTGTATTCTGATTAGGAAAAAGAAAAAGGCACCCATCCTCATCCTCAGGAGCTATGAGAAAACACACGCAATCACTCGTCCAACCAATTCAGATTTCAACTGATAGGGGATAAGACGCAGGGTCAGTAACCATTGATCTGCCTCGGCCTCGGGTTCGGTGTGGATCCTATCAACCTCGAGAACGGAACTTGATCCCGGCCCGAGAATCCTCCTCGTTGTTCGTCGTTGAAGCTGTTTTTCCCAGTCCTCGGGTCCGAGAAGGGCTTCGAGAACGCCTGGGCAAGCTCCATTGCAGAGGTTGCTTTGCCGTATCGGGGTTGCCCCGTCCCATCTGGACATTCCGGCTTTCGCCACGTCTCTGGGGACGGATGCCTCTTCTCCTGTACCATCGGTCTCGCCTTTCTCTCGTTCTCCCTCGCCCTGTTGTTGTTATCGTTGTTTCGCCAGTTTCTCCTTTGGGTTTCGGATCTGTCAACATTGCCTATGCTTCGGCTGTCTTTCCTGTCGACTTTTCCTGATACATTCGCCTGGCGAGAAGGGATCACTTTCTCCGGGACCCTTTCGGTTTTCGGAACGTTTGATTTGACCCTTTTAGTATAACCACAAAAGAGGAAAAAAGAGACCAAAACGAAATACTTGAGGAATTACACGATTTAAGTTTCGGAATGACAGCGTAATAAGAAGAGCTGAGATGAACTTTGGCAAACCTTTCGAGTCGGTCCAACTCATGATGGTCAGTCTCGTCCATTCCCCGTTCCTTCAAGACCTGATCACATTGTAAGAGCTAAGATTGAGATGCAAACCCACTTGACTTGCAAATATAAACCCAATGACTGATGAACAAGCGACTAATGGGGAGGACTTCAGAGATGCATTACACACTAATCGAAGCGCTGGAAAGAAATACTGACGACTCACCAGTTCTCGAGGCCTGGCACCGCCAAAAACCGCATTTCTGCATCAGGTCAAGCAAGCATTAGGCCTATACGCTTAAGAATGTTATCATATTTGTACAAAATTGCTCTAGACCACTACGATATCAAGAAGCTAAGGGCATGAAATGTTTCCGATTTACAACGTAAAAGACACAGGAATATAAATAGAACAACGACACCTCCGACTTTTTAGATACATAGAGACAAATCCATGATCAACTTCTTTTTCTAATAAGCTCGGGTACCAAATATGTTGAACACACTCTTCTCCAGTTGAAAAATACTACCAAATTCATAAATTTAACAAAGAAATTCTTGTTCATCTGTCATCATAATTACTTGCAAGATCCAGCTCCAAAATAATTGCTTGACATCCGTGACATAAATGTAGCAGATTTATCGGTAAGTTAAGAAAGTTCCAAACATCTTTACCTCTCCCTTTCAGGGATAACATCTGGCTGCTCAGCCAGCTGCGATCTCGGCTTCAAATTCAACTTAGGGCGTTCAGCCTGCTGGTTACCACTCTCATCTGCAGATGAACTAGGTTTCAAATTATTCATATTTCTGTGTGTCATGTTACCAACGGAAGCACCACTTTCCTGCATGAAAAGAATTGAGTCATCAGAAGACAGAAGGACAGAGCGGTCAACAATGGAGAAAGCAACATGAAACTGAACAGACAACTAATGAGTATAAAGACCCATCCATACCTGCTTCACATCATTTAAAGGTCTCTCAACATTTTCAAGATGTTTTGTCGACGGAAGTAGTTTCAGCTTAGGCCGTTCCAACGATTCAGAAGGTATATATGTATCATCGGAACGATTTAGATAAAGCCTGTTGTTTCTGCCCGCTACCACGTTCGCGTCTTTCACTTCTAAATCAGCTGGAGGAGAGCCTTTTTCGTACTGGGCAGAAACTTTTCGCCCATCCATGATGCCATCTTTGATAGCCAGACCCTTTTCCAAGTGTCTCGCCAACATTACTTCCGACGATTCTCTTTCACGTGCCACATAATCGTTAGTTTTATGAAGACCACTCTCCAAGTCTGGATGCTTCAGATTCTCAATCTGGCCAGGAGCAACTAATTTCGAGTGCCATTTTCCCGAGGACAAATGCTCAATGGCAGTTACAGGGACCAATTTGGAAACAGCAGGTTGTGTAGTAGCCCAGGGAGATTGTCCCGGCTCACTGATGGGAGATGTCACCTCCTTCCGTGAAGCCCAGGCATTAGGGTAAGCGCCTGACACAGAGTTCTCGCTGTTTGCACCGATCATTTGGTTACTGATCCCAGAATGAGCTGCATCAATCTTCTTCGCGAGCCAAGGGCCAGAAGAACCTCCCTGCCTATTGGCAAGTCTCCCAGCTAAAACCGGGTCCGATTTCACCTCCGTGTGGGTGTTAGGAGCTCGGAAAACGTCATCACTAATCATTCTACGTGGAACCGAGGGACCGTCCAGAAGCATACGCTCATCCTCGCTGAAATTACGACCGATATTTGCCGTGAGAGGCAGAAAAGGTGACTTGTCATCGAAATTTCTGATAGAATGTGACGAACTTGGCCTCGTCCTCTGATCTGGTCGACCCATAGAAGTACCCAAAGACACTCTATCAGAACCAGGTCGATCCGCAGTAGACCTCGGAATTCTACAAAACCCAAATCAAACAAGGAAAACACAACACGAAATAAGGATGTGCAATCCCAGATTTTATACAATCAATACGCCGATAATAACAACACATGAAACCATCAATACCCAAATTTCGATGCAGGTCTAAGAACCCTAGAACTAACCAGAAAAAATTCACCAGAAACAATCGCGGCACAAATCAAACCCGCCGACAAAATACACCGACATCGCAGGCAAAGAAAACGGAAGGTTCACACAAATCTGAAGAAACTTACACTCCAGGAGCGGAAGGGAGAGGGAGATCAGAAGGGATGGAACCGCCATGGAAGTCCTTAAGCGTCATGGTGTTTCCAGAAGATTTCTTCTTCGACATCGTTCCTCGAAACCCTCTTTCTCTCTATATATAAATCTCTTCTGCGAGCGATTGAGATAGAGTTTCGATGGAAGAATCGACGCGAAGATGAATACAACAGTTCCCTCCCTCTCTTCGCTCTTCGAAAGCTTTGGCCTCTCGACCCTACGGTTCGTCTGATTCCGACTCTGGTTCTCTTCTCGGGTTAATATTTTACGGGAAAACCCTTTTTTGGGTACATTATTATATTATGACATTATGTGCAAATAAAGTTTGCAAAAATTGCAAACAACATCCATATTTAACTCAACTTTATATTTAATCTCCTATACTTTTATATCTATCTATTTGATCCGACGTTGGTACAAGTTTCTCGAATTAAATTAATTTGTGGGGAAATAATTTTAGCTTGTGTTTTGGGTTCAAAATTTTAATTAAAATTTCACAAATTTTCAAAAAAAAATCAAGTTTTATTTTTAGTTCTGTTTTTTTGGTTTTCTCTGTTTTTTATTCCATTTTACTAATTTTGATTCGTAAAAAAATATCTTATTTTTACCCACAATCCATATATAACAAAACCATTTTTCAATCATGAAGTTTATCATCTCATAATGCAACACAGAGAAACAAAACCACACAAAATATAATAAGCAAACAGGATGAGAATCTTGAATCTTTATCCATTTGGCAAGAGAATCATTCACAAGAAGATTCCTCATCTTTGAGCAGTCCTTTGGATTCGAAGTACTCTATCGTCTCATCATAAATCTCGTTGATTCCGAATTCGAACCGAAACCCTTCATTGATGAGCTTCTCTGATGAAAATGTAAGCTTCGCCTTCAATGGCAAATCCCCGAAGCTGTGAAATAACATACGATACGAATGCAGTTTTTCAGTGTCCATGTTTCGGATTTTCGATGATTCTGTAATTTCTTTCATTCGCTTTTCGTGGATTCTGTGATAATCTTACTTAGATACGACGTTGTAATGAGTGTATCTCTGCCTGAGAAACTCCGCGATCTCCGGAACACTTGAGTTGTACGAACAGCAAATGTACCGGCCAGAAGCGGTTTCTTTCTCCGCGAGAAACACGTGTGCACGAGCTACATCCTCAACGTGGACCAATGAGATCGAACCTGAAAGCTTCTGCATCTCCTTCAAGCCGTTGAGGAAGAACTCGTCCCCTGCGGAAAACAGCAAAACCCTAAAAACAGATGAAGTTGGTTGCTTCTGTTCCAAGTTTCCATTTTCCCATCAATGCGTACCTGTGATCGGAGACATTGAAAGAGACAAGCTACTAGGAGGGTCTAACAGAAGGGATGTCCCCGACAAGAGGACTGGAATGACGGTGACGAGATCGATGTTTTTCTCTCCCGAAAACTTCCAGGCCGCGGATTCTGCAAGCGTCTTCGAGGCGGGATAACCCTAGATACAGCCAGAACATGGATTCAGGCAAAGTTTGCGAAAAGAAAATAGCTTGCGGCGCAAGAAACGTTACCCAGTTAAGAGGCTTCTCGTTTGTCAGAAACTCGATGTCAGTCCAGTTTCTCTCGTCCATAACTAGCCCAGGACCAGTCAGGTTGTTTATGGAAACAGCAGCAGCTGAGGAAGTGTAAATCACGCGCTTGACTGACTCGGTTTTCGAGCACGTTTTCAACACATTCATCACTCCCTCGATCGCTGGTTTGATCATGTCACGCTAAAACACGACAGAATGTGAGTTCAATAAACGATGAAAACTAATCGAAAATATACAGTTGATGATCGGTGAATCTTTTCTTTCATTTCAGACCTCGGGATCTTTGGAAGAGAAGTTCACAGGCGTTGCGACATGGAAGACGAATTCACAACCCGAGAAAGGATCAGTGAAGCTGTCTTCATCTGTAAGGTCCGCTTTGAAAATCTTGAGGTCGCCCAGTTCTTGTAGAGCCCTAAGATGAGCGGTTTTCTTCTCGTTCTCTGCATCAGATACAAACGAGACACGATTTCAAGATCTGTAACACGCAAAAGAGACAGAGAATCTGAATCTGAAACACCAAAACCTGGATCTCTGACGGTAGTGTGAACGGAGTATCCTCTCTGAAGCAAATGTTTGATGAGCATTGAGGCCAGGTTTCCGGTTCCACCGACTACGCAAGCCTTAGTTTTTCGGGTTTCCATGACTGTAATCTGATCTTATGAGTTTTAGTTGTATGTGTTGCAGACCCTTTATATAGGAAGATTAGCCCTAGTTGTCTGATTTCATTTGCTTATGAACATTCTGGTACAACCGTTAATCAAAGTTTCAGGAGGAAAGCACGTGTTTTTTTTTCTTCCAAGATTTAAGACAACTACCATGTCTTAATCATCATCTTCTTCCTCTGTTTTTGGCCACCTAAGAGTCAAGATCTTACATTGTTTGACTGTGTGGAGGGATTGTCACAAAGCTCTGGGTCCTCAGCAGATAAGAGTGCTTCGCAGGCATTGAATCGGATGCAGAGAATAACCCAGAAACAGTTCAAATCTTTTTCCATAGAATCAGAAGTGCTGCTTTCAGAAGTCATGGGAACTCCATTAATACCATCTGATACTGTCTTGGAGGAGAATTAGGGGTGTCAAAAAACCCGAGGCCCCGTTATCTATCTCGAACCCACTCAATAAATTTACGGGCTTGGAAGTCCGATTGTCTATGGATCGGGCTGACCCGACCTAAAAATTTCGGCCCAAATTATGGGATCGTACCAATCCGAACCCTAAACTGTTAGATTTTAATTATTTATATTTATAAATATATATATACATATATATATATATAGTACATATATACACACACGTTCATTCATCCAATCACATATGTATAATATATATATATATATATATAGTATTGATTATTAATTATGTGTTTTCAAGTATTTTAAAATCTTAATAAAAAATACAAAAATTTATTATCAAGAATTATAAAAACATCTAAAAAATGTTTAATATTGAATAATTTAAGACATAGTATTTTAATTGTTTAATATTGAATAATTTAAGATATAGTATTTTAACGGACAATATATTTAAAATTATAATGTTCAAACTCGAAACTTTGTCCAAACCCATACAAAAATCTGTAGGGTCGGATTTTGGGCAAACGACCTGTTTATGTTTCGAGCCGGGCCGGCCCATAAGCATTCGAATTTTCATCGGACAGTCCAGGCCAGGTCAGCACAGCCCGATCATTTTGATACCAAAAAGGAGAACCCATGTCTTAAAATCATTCAAACTCCACATTGGTCTGAGAGGGGCAAGAGTTTGTGCCATGGAAAAACCAAGAATCAAGTTCCCATCAGCCAGGAAAATTTGATAAATCTTTATCTTTAATGGTTTCTCCGTAGATTCCAAACTCTGCAATGGTGTTTTTGCGTCTTATCAACTTTCAGAATCGCCACCATGTTTCCTGGGGTTTAGGGACTTCTTGATTCTGCATTGAAGAGAGCACCAAAGGCATCCAGTTATATAATTAAATACGATTCAATATAAATAATCAACAATATATGATAACAAAGAATGAAGCTTTGCTTCATGAGAACAAAGTTCCATCTCTCTTTTTCACGTTCATGAAAAAAGCAATCTGATGCTTTTCGATTCTTTTCCTCTTCACTCCAACTTTGTAAAGCAATGGACATAAATACAACAGAGTTTCTTTGTCCAGGACGGGGAATAAGAGAGATGGAAGAAGATTTCGGGTTTCTGGTTTCTATTCTCATCATATCCATGGACATTTCAGCTGCAGTTCTCGGGATCGAAGCCGAGATTGCTCAGAGCAAGGTGAAACCATAAGCTTACGAATCTCGAGTTTTATAAAGGAGTCCATTTCCGTACCGATTATCATAGTTTTGATGTTTCTTGGAACAGGCAAAGCACTCAGGAACCTCGCATTCCGAGTGTGGAAACCCCAGTTCTGCTGCTTTTGCAGAGGGAATAGCAGCACTAATTCTTCTGTGCATTGCCCATGCCACGGCCAACCTGCACGGCGGCTGCATCTGCTTCCGGGCAAAGCAAGACTACAAGAAAGCATCGGCCAACAAGATATTAGCCGTGGCTTTCCTCCTCCTCTCCTGGTACGGAAATTATGACCATCCTCCATGGCTGGAACAAAGTTTTAAGCTTTCCATAAAAATAAAATAAAAATAAAAATCCATTCTGACCGTCTAAAACATACCGTTTGTCAGGATCACACTTGCTGTTGCCTTCTCGACGCTGATGGTAGGGACATTGGCCAACTCGGGATCGAATAAATTCTGTGACTTGTCAAGTCGTTGGCTTTTTCTGGTCGGAGGCATATTTTGCCTGAAGCATGGAATGACAACTGCCGCATACTATGTCTCAGCCACCGCTGCAAAACGAGAAGAACAAAGACAAGCAGAACAAGAAAGCCAGATCCATGGAAGACATGCATAACAAACGTTATCTTCAGACAATGAAGCACAGATGTTTATACAACAGAATCATTGCCTCTAGTTCTAAAAGAAGATATTGATGAAATTTACTTCCATTCCATATATGGATGCTTTAGTTGTGGCTAACAAAAACCAAATGCTAAGCTGAAAATAAGAAAACAAAAACCGAAACCAAACCATAATCCCAGATCCTAGATAGAAGAACACAGCAACGAGAAAAGATAGAGATGCAACTCATATCTTACTACTAGAACCAAGAGTTTCAGCAATCAGCTTCGATGCCTCATGGATGAATTCACTCTTCTCCACAAGAAATTCAATCTCAGCAGCCCGTAAGGCATTCCACTTCTCCTCGATTCTTTTCTTATCCTCGGAGGAAACCATTGCCCATCCTTGCTTAACCGCAAGCTCATCCACACCAAAACCAGCCATGGCTTTAACAAGCATCGTCTCAAACCCGTTGCTTCTGCTCACAAGACGAGAAGCTATCTCTTCTGCATCAAGTTCTTCCCTTTTCCCATTGTGCGAAGGAAACAGCTCTTGCTTCAACGACTCGAGCGATTTCATCTTCCCCTTTTGACTCTTTTTTGATTTGCCATTCGATTTCATAGCAGATTCATTCGCCATTCCTTCAGGGCCCCAAATAGCCTTCGACAACTCGAATGCCTTCCGTTCATGAGCTTTGACGAAACTAGGATCCTCCCCATTCTTTCCTTTACCGAGATTATTCACATACTTCTTCCTCAAGCTCCTAATCTTGTCCATGAACTGAACCTTACTCACATCAAAGCTAATCGACTTCTTCGCCAATTCGTAAAACCCGTTAATATCATCAAACGGACTCACTCCTGTATCCGATTTGAAATCGATTATACCTTTCAACACAGCGATTTCGTCGTCCTCGCTCCACAGACGCTGAAAATACGTCTTCTTCGTGTCTTCTCCAGGTGTCCCTCCTTCCTTCCTCACCCGCTTCACATCATTCGGTGGCCGAGCCGTCTTGCTCGGACGTTTCACCGCTGATTTCGCCGACGAAGCCAAAGCATCCGACGGCTTAGCTTTCACAGATTCGGGATTCTGCTCCACGGGCTTCACCGCGACACGTTCCCTTCTATCGGTGTCGGAATCCGAATCGGTTTCTGTCTCCGACCCAGAATCCGAATCTGAAGCTTGCTTCGGAGGAGCAACGGTTTTACCAGGAACCGCGATGGTAACAGCAGATGCAGATCCCGGCTTCGCAGAAGCAGAGAGAGGGTTCTTGACGGAAACCTCGCGATCGTCGCCGTCGTCGGCTTCCTCATCCGAGGAAGATTTCTCCTTGTGCGTTTCATCCTCTTCTTCGTCTTCGTCCATGGAAACTTCCTCCTCTTCTTCGCTTGATGATGCGGTGGGTGGATCTTCCATCGGATTGGGACGCTTCGGCGACATGGTGAGTTTCGAAGTCGAGATCTATGGGAGAGACAGAGAATCGAAGAGTTTAGGGTTTCAAGTTCTTTGGCTGCAGTTAAATAAGTACATGATTGGTTGTTTTCCATTATCTGATAGAAATTTAATTATTCTATTTTCCCCGATTTTTTTCAGTAATTACTTTATTTGTACATATAATCCCCCATTTGAAAAAAAGAATAAATCCACTAAACGGAAATGTTTTATGATTTTGCATCATTAAATTTAAGTATGCTTAGTTTATATGATTTCATAAATTTATTGCTCTGGCGACTAAAATCCATACTATTATAAATATCCTTATTAAAAGGAAATTGACATGTACACGAACTTTTAAAAGAATCCAAGATAATTATGAAATATAACGAACCTTTTTTAAAAAAATTATGGCCTTAAATGTAGGAGTTTTTAGAGTTTTTATAATCCAAAAACAAAAAAAAATAACATTCAAGTTTTTACAAAATTACTTTTTCTAAAAATTTGGAAAGTCATTTTAGTGAAAAAATCAATGAAAAACCAAAAGTCATTTTTTTTGAGTTTTCAAATATTATAAAATCCAAAAGCCAAAAACCAAAAACTAAAAACCAAAATCTAAAAACTAAAACCAAAAACCCAAAATAAAAGCCATCTCCATTCAAAACCTATATTAAAATATAAAGGTGTTGAATGGGAGGTGGATTTCGGAGTTTTTGGATTTCAAAAAGTGAAAAAACCGACAATCAAGTTTTTTGAAATTTGGTTTTCCTAAAAATCCGGAAATCTACTTTATGAAAAAAATTAACTAAAAACTAAAAACCACTTTTTTTAGATTTATAAACTTTCAGAATCCAAAAACCAAAAACCAAAAACTAAAAACTAAAACCAAAAACTCAAAATAAAAACCAATACCATTCAAAGCCAAAATTTTCAAACCCTAATATATCATGATAAATTTTGTAAACTTTAAAATTTGAGTTTAACTTTTTTTATAATTTAGGGTTTAATTTTATAATGATTTTTAAAATTATTTTAAAACTACAGTATTTAATTTTATTGTTTTTAAAAAATTTAGGGTTTAATATTAATATAAACTGATGGAAAGAATTTTTATATTTGTATCAAAATTTTAAAAATTTGACATTTTCTTACAATTTGTTTTATATTAATATGTTATTTTCTCAATTAAAAATTACAGAAAACACAACGGAGGAAACAAAACCGTGGATTATCGCGAAAGCTGTGGGCCCCGATCGCTGCGAATCCTAGATAAATCCAAAAACTCTTTCTCGTACTCATCGATTCCCGCAGAAGAAACCATTGTGAAGGAGACGACAGAAGGAAGATGGAGGATCAAGAACAACCCCATAAACTCTCCCGAGTTATCAGAGTCGACTCGGCCGATTCTTGGGATTTCTATCTCTCTCAAGCCAAGAATCAGGCTTGCCCTGTTAAGTCTCTCTCGTGTTTCTTCTCCTATCCCTTTCGTTCCCTAGAAAAGTTCTCATCTTTAGAGAAAACCCTTGGAATTTTCTTCGATTTGTGGATGAAATAGTGATTTGGTGATCGTTTTAGCTCGAGGGTTAAGCGGGGATTGTGAAATTATTGGTTTAAAATCGTCTTCAGGGACCAAGAACATGAGACTTTTGTCTCTTCATGCCTTCTGAGCTTGTTATTTGTAACCCAAACCCATGGTTGTTACATGTTCTGTTCTCTGCTATGTAATTGCTGATCAGTGTTCTTGATTGTGGAATAGATTAATAGTGATACTAATCTCATTTGTTTGTTGTGTTGTGTTGAAGGTTGTGGTTCACTTCACTGCATCATGGTGTATTCCTTCTGTGGCTATGAACCCTTGCTTCGAAGAGCTTGCATCAATCTACCAAGACGTTCTCTTTCTCACTGTTGATGTTGATGAACTCAAGGTAAACAAGAGATTCAAAGATTCTCATAGGAACCGAAGGTTCAGAAGAAATGTTTATCTGATAAAACCTACTTTCGTCTTGAAGAAATGCTAAGAGTTCCTCAGTGATTCATAAGGCCAACGAGGAGGAATTCGTTCTCTGTAGGCATGTCTGGCCACAGGCTTATGCCTACCCTTGATTCATAACGATGCTGTTCTTGACGATAATCGTTTTTTTTTTCTCCTTAACGGATGCGATCTGAACGCGATGAAAGGATGGATCTAAATGGTACGGTGTGTGTTTTGTGTTGGAATTTGGTCAGGAAGTGGCAAGTCGGCTGGATGTAAAGGCGATGCCGACTTTTCTGATGATGAGGGATGGTAACGTGATGGACAAACTCGTCGGGGCAAACCCCGAAGAGATCAAGAAAAGGGTCAATGGTTTCGTGCAGTCATCTCGTGTTGATATGACCTAAGAAAACTTGCGTTTACTTCACATCCTGAATGAGAAGACATCACAAGCAAGTGTTTTCAGTTTTCTAGTTCCTGCCTTTCTGTTTGTGACTTTGTGTTTCATGTCATGAAAAGGTTGTTGAAGTCTCTCTCTCTCTCTCTCTCTCTACCAAATGTAAATTCTTGTAAAATACAGAAGATGTCAGTATATACGAGAGTTTATACTTTATACTTCTGATTTTTTGCTTTTAATGATAAAAAAATCATCTTTTCCATTGATTCGCCAACAAAATCCAGTCTTGCATTAGAAAAAAAATGGCCGGACAAGTGAACTGTCTTAACCACAGAAGAACAGGACAGAGAGAAGCATCATCATTTGATGATCATTGCCTCTCTCTCAACAAGAATGTCCCCCCCCCCCCCGGGATCGGTACTTTCGCTCTGCATTCTCACCCTCTAGTGTTCCCATCTTCGGCCATGAATTGAAAGATGTTTCCCAATTCCCGAGCGTTCTCGCTTTCTTTTTGTCTCCATCGACCACTGAGTCTCCGTCTTCCCAAAAGATAGGATCTCTGTGTAAAAGATATGGATTTCTCAATACCCAGAAGGAGATTCGATCCTGAGATCCCTGGGTTTTTCTCAAAATGGAATCTTTGCGAGAAGCCATCGGTGTTCCTGTGCGAAACTCGAACCATAAATCTCTCCGGGTTGCACATAATATATATATGTATATATACATAGATATATTGATGAAGAAATAATCTGATACTCGTAACCAGTGATCGTAACAAGCCAAGAAACAAGCGCAGAGGAAGAACAAGCCATGCTATCTAGCGTGTGTACTGAATATATTTAGTTTTCTTTGCATTTCTCATTCTTAAGAGAAACCTACTTCAAAAAAAGATAAACAGTGCAAATTGTCATGCCGACTTTCATTTCCACTTTAGATTCTGTCTGAAACATTACAGGAATCTTAAAAGAAGAGACAACGAAAATGGAACAGATGCAGTTTTGAAATGTACCCTTCTCTTAAGAACCTCTGTTTCAATGGTTTAAAGATTGTACAAGGGAATTAGAAACGCTTTTTACACATTGCTTTGCTTGTACATCTTCGTGTCTAGAACTTGCTTCCCACACATGGCGCACACTCCTGCACAACCGTGAACCTCCATTTATTACAGAACATAACAAAAACCAGAACCTGTATCCCGGTTGTTCTGATCGAAAGTCGCTAAAAGGGTTTTAGCCGGTTACTCCACTCGTCGCCGAATTCAAAATCATGTTCCCTAAATGATGGAGATTGATCATTGGAAAAGACAGATAGATAGATTACCTTTGCTATAAGCACAAGTGTGACAGTACTTAGCATCCTGGTGAACTTGCTGCTTGCATATAATGCACTTTGTGTTGCCATACGGCGTCCACCTGCACGACCATGACCATAACCATCACAAATTCACAATACACCATCAGAAGCTCAACCGAATTAAGTTAAGTGAAGACACATAAGAGTTTCCTTTGCCTCGACTGTTTGTACCAGCCTATACAATTCCGAAAAGGATGCATCACGATTGCCAGAAATGGATAACAAATAACCGCAAGAACAGTGGGTGGGGCTTTCCAATCTGTGGTTAAGAGAAGATACAAATGGCATTCAAGGGCAAGAGTCGTAAATGATATCCAAGAACTAGACGCTACTGCAGGGTGAAGAAAATTTCAATGGCTACAACCACAGATCCAAGACCCCTAACCAAAAACAGTAGAATTTCGTTTTCCCTCTCACTGTAACTAATTCATTCGGTGAGGAATCGTTACTCAGCTCGAAGAGTATAATCCACAGAAACAAGAATAAGATCACAACTAACAGTAACTTATCAAACAAAAAATGGGACATCGGATAAAACATACCGGTTCTTCTTGGATAGAAGCTTGTTCTCATTGATTTTACGACCACCGCCTTCGGTTGTATTACTTGCACCATCCTTCCACTTGTCTGGAACAATTACTTTTGATAATTTCTTCTCACCTGAAGCAAAAACAAAAGATGGGGAATACACATCAGGGGCATAACTAAAAGCACAAGAATTGTATACCTAATTGAGTGCGGGGATCAGTCATCAGTTTAATACCAACCATAAAGAACAAACAACGAAGTCACAGGCTATACGCAATGCTAATCGGGCGATAATTTCGAACTAAATCAGAGAGAATTCTAATTTCATAACCGATAGGAGGCACCCAAATGATAGAATCAAACAAGAAACAGAAAAACAATAACGGAAGAACAATTTCGCCAAACATGGTAACTGAACCCGAGGTTCGTGCATATCGATTCGGATCAATCAATAGAGAGGGATCCCACCGCCAAGACACTAAATTTCAGCGACAATCGCGATCGGATCAGGGAACAAAGAAAGATATTCTAAAGCTTATTTGATGACTTACACTTCCCACACACCATCGTCGTCTTCCTTGTCCCTCTGTACGAGAACAAGATGAAACCCTAATGCAAATTGGATGAATCAGCAACAGAGAAGCCTTTTTGTTTTTAAAATCATATTTATGATATAATATATTAAAGAAAAATAGATTTAGAATTTTAAATCGACAGTTTGGCCGAGTGGTCTAAGGCGCCAGATTTAGGCTCTGGTCCGAAAGGGCGTGGGTTCAAATCCCACAGCTGTCAATTTCTCTTTTTTCTTTTCGTAACCAATTATATAGTCTCCACGAGGACAAAGTCAACCAATAGGATCCTTCCACGTGGTTGGACTCATACAACGTCGTTTTATAGCGAGGGACCTTCTTTCACCTAGAGGCTTTTGATCTTCATTTCGCGAGAAAACAGCAACACCTTCTCGTCTTGTCAAATCCGATCAGAGACTTCACCTGAAGAGAACCTCACGGTGAGAGAGAGAGATCCAACAATGGCGTCGAATTCATCTATTTTTCTCCTCGTCGTCCTCCTAACGCTCTCATCGACTCTATCCTTCTGCTTCGCCGATCGAGATTCCGATTCAGATCTCGTCGCGGAGCTTGTCTCCCTCCGATCCGCCTCCGAATCCGGCGTCATACGGCTCAACGACCAGCGCGTCTCCCACTTCCTCACCTCCATCTCCGCTCCACGTCCTTACTCACTCCTCATCTTCTTCGACGCCGCCCAGCTTCACAGCAAGCAGGAGCTCCGCCTCCAGGAGCTCCGCCGCGAGTTTGCCGTGGTATCCGCCTCCTTCGCCGCCAACAATAACAATGGAACCGACGCTGACAAGCTTTTCTTTTGCGAGATTGAGTTCTCGGAGTCCCAGTCTTCGTTCCAGCTCTTTGGCGTCAACGCCCTTCCCCACATCCGGCTCGTGGGTCCGTCCACGGTGAATCTTAGGGATGATTCCGGTCAGATGGATCAAGGAGATTACTCTCGTTTGGCGGAATCAATGGCGGAGTTCGTCGAGCATCGGACCAAGCTCACCGTCGGTCCGCTTCACCGGCTGCCTCTCCTGTCGAAGACGCAGATTGGGATTGTCGTAGCGTTGATCACGATCTGGACTCCGTTTGTTATTAAGAGGGTACTCAAAGGGGAAACTCTTATCCATGACCGTAGGGTTTGGTTATCTGGCGCCATTTTCGTCTACTTCTTCAGTGTCGCGGGCACGATGCACAACATCATCAGGAATATGCCCATGTTCCTACCGGACAGGAACGATCCGTCACGGCTCATCTTCTTCTACCAGGGTTCAGGTATGCAGCTTGGTGCTGAGGGATTAGCGGTCGGGTTCCTGTACACAGTGGTCGGGTTGCTCTTGGCGTTTGTCACCAACGTGCTTGTCCGAGCGAGGAATGTTACTGTGCAGAGGTTGATCATGCTTTTGGCTCTGTTCATATCGTTTTGGGCTGTGAAGAAGGTGATTTACTTGGATAATTGGAAGACAGGATATGGAATTCACCCATATTGGCCTTCCAGTTGGCATTGATCAAATCTTATGAGGTCTATTCTATATCCTTTGGCTAGGTAATGGACTCCAGTTTCAAAAGTTGTCAGATTTTGAACAATGATGTTGTGAGCACACAATCTTGCCCTTGAACACCTCAACAATGTAGTGCGATATCATATGTCCCTTGCTAAAGGCACTAGTTTTCGGTGTGTTATTTGTCTGGGTGAGAAAGGTATAGCCAAGAAAATGGATCAAAGAACCGGTGAAAAGTGTAGGATACCACATTGTTCACTTGTGATGTCTGTTCATATTGGGAATTTATGATTCTTTGTTCCTAAATTGCTGTTGTTTGGGAGAGTTTCATGCAGAGGAAAGACAGGTATTCAGCCCTGAACATACCACAAGAACGGGTGCAATCCCGTTTAGTAGGATTCATAGTTTTATGAATGTAAGTTTGTTCTAGGACATGTAGATTTGGTCTTGCACAGTGACCTGAGCACATCAGTGGGAAACTTTCTGGCTAAACCCTTCAAATGGAAGAAAAGAATACTCTGCTTGAGTTTGCAATCTAAAGGGATTCATTAGAATCTCGAGTTTCTCTCGTGTGTTCTCTACCGTGCAGGTTTTGGATTCAGTTGAGGAATTTCTTGATGTATTCTTCTTCCACTATGTAGTAACGATGGATTTAGACCGTCTGATCGGTAAAGATCTCGGTCTCATTGTGATTAAGCGTTTCCATGGATGTGCGGGGGAAGACTACAAAAGAAAAGAAAAGAATACAAGGAATCGAAGCAAAGAATCAAACCCGTAATGACAAAAGAAAAGAAGAAGAGGAGGAGGTTTATTCCACAAACCCTACAAGGTAAGCATCTTTTCGACAAACTCCACCATGTTTATATCCATTCCCATAGATAGAGATAGACTCAGAATCAGAAGAGAAATGGAAATGGAGATGGAGAAGAGAGCTGAAGAAGTGGGGAAAGCCTTTGTGGAACATTATTACAGCCTCTTCGACAAGGACCGGTCTTCTCTCTCTTGTCTCTACGACTCGACCTCGATGCTTACCTTCGAAGGGCAGAAGATCAACGGTGCGGAAGACATCTCGAACAAGCTCAATCATCTACCGTTCGATCAATGCCGTCATTTGATCAGCACCGTTGATTGCCAACCTTCTTCGCTGTCCGGCGGGGGCGGCTGTGGCATTGTCGTCTTCGTCAGTGGCAGTCTTCAGTTGCAAGGGGAAGAGCATCCTCTTAGGTTCAGTCAGGTTGGTTACTCTTACTTATTATGCTACAGTGATCATATGGATGTGTACATATACATGTGTATGTGTATATATAGGTTCGATCTCACACTGAACTGATAAGAGAGATGATAATGGCTGCAGATGTTCCAATTGATTCCAACCCCACAAGGGAGCTTCTTCGTCCAGAACGACATTTTCCGGCTCAACTATGGTTAAAAGCCCAATTTGTATACGTACCAATAATATACATACAAAACAATGAAACTCCATGAGTGCAACAATTAAATTTTTTATATTTTATTCCAATGAAATTAGTTTCACGACTCATCATGTCATATGTAGATTATATATATATCGAATGAATCAAAAGATATGTTGTTCTCGACGTGAAGAGGTGGAGAACTTTAACTTAGTGGTCGTCATTTTTAGTATTAACTGAATAACCGAATCAAATAATATATAAATATAACCGAATCAAATCTGACATAAAATTTGAATGGTTATGATTTCGTTTAACCAAAAAAAATTGGAACCGAGTTGAACCGAACTGATTAAAAAAATAGTCGAAAAAGTTAGACAATTTTTTTGAAAAAATGAGTTTTCACAACAAAAAAACGAATTCGAACCGAATTGAAATAAATTTTATATAAAAACCGAATGGTTTTAGTGATTCTATAACCGAAATAATTGAACTTAAATATAATCGAATTGAATCCGAATCGAAACTCGAAATGATCACCCCTACATCCATTGGTTTGATGGATTTTAAAGAGGGATTATTGATAAGATTATTGACACAGATGTATATACATACGTATATATAACGATAGTTCATGCGGTTTCAAGGAATCCAGAGGACATTTTTCCAAAGAATGGCCTCGAGTGTTACACAAAATTGTTCAGACAGCACCTTCATTGGCTCCTGAGTTGTGGGAAGGCCCTCAAACTCTCAAAGGACTCTCACTTTACAACCCTTCCAAAGGGCAAATCTGCATCTTTAGTTAAAAATATGCTACCGAGGGCTGTCCCTCACGTGCAAGTCACGTGACCTTATCTCAATCACCCGTGTCACGTTTAATTTATGCCCTTTTCCTCTCAAGGAGTTGGAACTTTCAGTTCTTGATTGCGAAACATACGGTATTAGGACCGTAAGTTGGACTAGGTTTCGTTGTGTATACCAGAGAATATAATGCATAGAAAACAAAAATATGTACACGTACATATATATATATATACGGACATATATATGTGTATATATATATATGTCCGTTTATACTGAATAGAAACTCATGCGCGCACTTGGGTCACGGAACAGACCAAACATACCTGTCTTGTTGAACTTTGAACGTTGACTTGTGTTTGACGTTAAAGAATCCACAATCAATTTGCGTCTGCATCTCAACGTGTTTTGAAAGGTCTCTGTTTATCACGTATACACAGAGACGCGTAATATATGTATATGCGTATCTATACGTACATGTACATGTATATGCATGTGTAAGACATGCCCTAATAGAAGTTAGAACACGCAAAAATTATGGTGGTAGCTGTTGGGAAAATATTATTTTTTCTATGAGATTTGAAAATAAATTACTAATTAGCCAAGATGTTTGATCAATTATATTTAAAAATATTATTGTAAGATAATTATTTCCAATATTTCTATATTGGTGATAAATTTTAAGATTATTATTATCATTTAAATAGTATTCATAGTAAGGTAGAAAATATAATAATATGTAAATTATATAAAAAAAATTTATAATTTTGAATAATTTTATTCAAGTTTTTATTTTAACATTAAAATCAATCAGATGAATCGCTCGCACAGTGTTTGATATTTAGTTAACCAATTGGACTTTTTCGTCCTATCTGTAAATTGATACTTTTTTTAAAAAAATTAAGGATCTATTTTTAAACTATTTTTAAGATCTATGTTGTAAGAATTCTAAACATTTTATAAAAAAAATGTGAGATCCACATGCAAAATAAATATTTTTCCCTTAATATATATATTTGAAATTAAATTTTAGTTACTTGGAGGTCGACCAAAAATCACCAGAGCGCGTAATCATAACAAAACCTAAAAACATAAAACGATATTTATAATACCATTTTTTTTTAACACGCTTTAATTGATGTTTCTTTAGTTTCTTTTTTATAAATTGTTAGGGATCTTGATTAACTTTTTAATTTTACTACCAAAAAAAATGTGACAACCAATGTTGAAAACGACCTGTGTTTCAATGTCGTCGGTTGGTTTTGTTCCTTTTGGCGACATGGGTTGTCTTGCCGTTGATCTTGAAATTATTGTTGTTTTGGTTTTAAGGGGTATTAATTATCAAAATAACAGCGATCCATATTATATATATATATATATATATTGAGATAAAATATATCCTCGACCGTCGAAAATTTTCGACCTAGGCATACAATATTTTCAATTACAAATTCTCTATCACATATGAACAAGGACACCATAAAATTAGAATGGTAAAAAAAATAAAACAATAACACATCTTATCATATTTAACATGCCAAAATTAAATTATTATTTAGAATTGTTAATATTGATTTTTTTTATTGGAGGACTGCCGAGTAGAATTGTCTGTGTAATGAAAAATAATTTTGCAGCGATATTTTTTGCGGTGAGGAAAGACTCTGAGAGTTAACATCGATTCTGATGAATGCTGTCTGACATGTGACCAAAACCATAATATTCAACGGCTCAAATTTAACCTTATATATATATATATATATAAATTATGTTTGTCTGTGTCTGAATTATTATATTTGATTTGAATATATCATATGATTTAAAAAAAATTAAAAATATCTTTCCAAATATGGGTATGAAGGCCGCACTGCAGAATTTGATAAGATTCCTACTCTCCATTATCAAATTCGAGATGAATGCGATAGAGAGAGATTAGACGAACATCCAATTTAATTAGTTATATTTTCACAATGGTTTTTGTTAAAAGAAATTGATTTTGGTGTTAGCAAAATAATATTTTTTTCTAACAAGAAGATATTGTATGTTGAAATGATATTAATCGGTAAGGTTTTATCGAGAAAAAAAAGCTCTCAATCGTTTAAAATGAAAAAATTATATAATTGTAAGAAATGGAATGATCAAATTTAAATTAGTTGTAAGAATTTAGGATAATTTAAATCTCTAAATTACGAAAAATTCCGAATACATGCTATTATAATCTATAATAATATACAGGACGGTAAAAAATATACCATAAAAATTAGATATAAATTGTAAACTAAACCGTAAAATACTAAGATTAAAAAATTTACATGCACACGATATCGATTTAATCAGTATCCCGTTGTTTTGTTCCGGTCGAAAATAAAATTTAATTTCTTCGTGGATGTTTATATTGTGTTATTCTAGAACATAACACAGCCTAATTGTGATTCAAATATATATTTCGTTTTATTTTATTTTGGATACACATTCATATCTATGGCTTTAATGGAGAATATATTGTTGATATATTTGAATATATATATACACACGTTTAAGTAATATTAAATTACACACAATTTAATTATCGTTTATATAGAAATTGGTTGGAAATAAAACCAGTGGAAGAAATTTTTAGATGACTAAAAGAGACAAATAAATATCTCATGTTTCTATTTCCGGATGTACACAAATCAATTGAGAATATCTTCGTAATATTATTATGCACATCAGAAATAAAAATAAAGAAATAGAAAGGGGGAAAATCATGCCAAAAATGCAAAAGAGTATTGTTAAGAAATATTTCGAAAAATCCAATCTTAAAAATTTGTGGGAAAATATAGGGTTTTTTCCCTTCAAAAGAATGACATTTTCAAGTGAAATTTCTCGATAGATAGACAAAATTTCATTCAAAAACCGGCCGCTTGGAAATTTGAGGTGAATTACTTTGAATTGAAAATTCATACATTGCATGGGACGAAAAATAAATAAATAAATAGTGAAATTTGTGGGACCGCATGCATGGCATTATGGAATATTCCCATGCAATATACGACGAAGGTTATATTATATACATTCTGAAACTTTGTTTATTTCTCTCCTTTTTTATTTATCGTAGGTTCAACTCTTATGCCAATGAAGGTTTTTTTAGCAAAAACTTGTGGAAATATCGAAATTATAATAACAAAATGATATGATATTTTATATTTCTATAGAAAATTAATTAACATATACCATAATTCGCATCCTTGCAACTATTGACGGTGAACCGCACCTCACTCTTCAATAATTATAGAGCAGCCTAAAATGCAACCACAATCATTTAGTTTGCCATTTCAAATCGGATTTACCAAATCAAATGAAATGGAATTGTATATTATTGTATTCAAATTAAATTAATTTAAAAATTGATTGCAAATTTTTAAATTAAATAAAATAAATTCAAATATATTATAAAAATAACAACAAATTAAAAACGAAAAAAACCGAAAGCAAATATATTTCAAATAAAATATGATTCTGATGGATATATTATAGAAAATCGAATTTATATAACCCATATAAAATTGAATATATATTATTTTGTTTCAATTTAAAAAAAAAATCATTGAGAGGAAACTAAACTATTTACGCCTGCATGCCACAATATTAGGTTAACTTTTCCCGAATTTTAAACATGATTACATATTTACATGATTAGCAAACTTTTTACTAGGGTGGTCATTTCGGTTATTAACCGAATAACCAAATCGAACCGAATCGAATAAGAG